TCAGACATTAAATGTTGAGTATTATTGATATACATTTACTGAATAACTATATTTGCAGAGATTAACAGTTAATTTTAAATGTTATAACAATTATTGTTGTCTTCAAAAGTGGAGACAAAGAAATTTTTATATAACAAAACATTTTAAGATTTTTTGAACCAAACTTTGCGCTGCACTTAAAAATATATGATAAATGTTTTTGAAATACATTGTAAATAGCAATTCAAAGGCAGTTTAACACTAATTTAGATGTGAATTGTTTTAATGCATTTAATTAATTGTGAGATTTTGCAGAAAAATCACAACATTTTTCATTCACAATAAGAGACACCCATTGCCTGCAAATGTAATTGGGTTTTAACGACATAAATCACATTTATTTAATAAATATTGAACATGAAAAATGCTTAAACTATGGATTATGCAAAATAACCATGATCAAATGATATTGCATAGTGCATAATATGCAATAATATGCACTGCATATTGATACCTAACATATACACTATAGTACACTACAATCTCTATTTTAAATCATTACACAATTTAATTAAACAACACATCATTCCGGGGCTCAAAACCATTATAAGTAACAGACAATACACTTACTTATTATCCTTCATGACTTTAATCTCGGTAATAATAAGCTCCTTCTTGGGCTGTTGTGCCAAATCCATTGTCTTAATGGCCACCTTATCCTGCGTGACGTTATCGACGGCGGTATACACCGTACCGGAGGCTCCGGAGCCCAACTTTTTCACGATCTTATACCTGGTCTTCGGGTTACCGCTGTTGACAATAGCCCTCAACTGAGTCATCACCTCCTCTTCGGTCAGAGCCTTCGGAGCCTCGGGTTTAGGCTTACGGCGAATCTGCGGCTGATCTCCATTATGATCACCGCCAGCGCCGGCGCCCACAACCGGCCGCTGCGGGTCAACAACCGGGCGGTGCTGTTTAGGCGCTGTAGCCGGCGATCCGTGACCTCCCGGTCCGGCCACTGGCAACGTGTTTACGTCGGTAAACATTTTCCTATTCTTCAAATCGTTAGTAATATCGGCGACCATATCGTCGTCGTTGGAGGGCTTCCGGCGGCCGCTATCGTCCAACTGGTGTTCAATCTCTTCGGTCTCGTGATCGATGGTCTCCTGATTGGCCAACCATTTCTCCTGTTTGTTGCGGAGCGAGTAGTTGTAGACCTTGAGGGCGGCCATCACGGCATCGGGATTCTCAAGCTGTTCCGTGCGGGAGATGTTGGCCTCTTGGAGCAGATCCATCCACGGCGTGGGCAGTCCCTCGATCTTCCCGGTGTCGGCGTTGAAGCCCACGTGAACGTTGTGTTTCACCTGAAACGGGGCGCCGATGTCCGATATGCGCGACCCGGAGTCGTCCAAATGGTCGCCGCCATACATGCCGTGACCGGCGCCGCCCTTTTGACCCTTTTTGTGGTCCCGTTTGTTTACGCCGCCGAATATCTTGTTCACAAATTTGCTCATGGTGATTGTTTTATGTGTGCGTTTACTTCTTAGGCGATTGGATCCAATGGCGGTGATGTTTGGCTCAAGAGTTTTATGACTTTTTGATTAATTTGTGGCACTTTTTGTTAATCCAATGTTATTTATGTGACAAAACTTTGCGTTAACTTTTTTGCCAATGCTATGCGTTATGTGTTGTAATGTATTATTGCTAATAAATATGGAGTTTTGTTATCATGTAGTAATTTATTATGAATTAATCAATTATATTGTTGTAATAATTAACTATTATTATTATATAAAGTTACTAGATAGGCAGGCAGTGTAAAAATATCGCACACGAACAAACAATAATAAATTAACAAAATGATCTAGTTACACAAAATAAATAAATCGGCCAGTGGTGTTTTTATGTGTGAATCACTATATTTGATTGTAATGAGCGAGCACAAATAATAATAAATAAATAGCACCAGCACAACACAATAAAAACCAATATGAATTCACACACAAATATACACTAACTATAGTAAACTTGCTATATTACAAAAATAACAATATAAAATGGATATTGTTAAAATATATTATTTTAGCAATATTGCTATATTATAATATTGAATATTTATCATTTATGTTGAAAATTGTGTGCATTTATCAGTGAATAGGATGTCGTGTGTGTTGTCGATCACTACCACCGCCACCGCTATTATCATCACTTCCTCCACAGTCACCCACAAACACATGCATACAAACTATACATACATACAGTATATATAGCTATAGATTTTATATATAAATATATAGTATATAACAGTGTATATAATAGGGGTATTTAAACGATATGTTTCAATGTTTCAAACACTCATTTAATGAGCAAATACTGTAGTTTAACAGTGCGTTCAATGTTATAGAAAAATAAGTAAAACTTTTTTTACAATGCACTTTTATTTTCAAACTATACATACAATGAATGCCATTTAAAAAGCCATTCAAACATCCATTTATGGGCGAGAAATACACACAACACTTAATGCAGCAAATATTCATACAGTTATTATGTGGTGTAATATGACTTCTCGTAGTTTTTTTCAATTACCCTGGTGCTCTTATCGCAATATTTGTGTTTTATCACCATGTATAAAGTTTAGATTATTAAAGCACTATGCATTTATAATTATTAAACACCAAGTTGCCACTCCCGTAACTTAATTAGGTGCAACTTGGTTACCCTATGCGTGTATGACTTGTTGCACCCACTGTTGCAACAAGTATTGCATGTATTTTGCATTGAATAACTTACAATAAATTTTATAATGCATTTAATTCAAGTTTACTAAATATAAATATTTTGTTTACCACGGGTTAATTAAACGCACCTTGGACGTTTTGTTCGTTCACTCCCCCTGCCCCTAATTAATAGTGTATTTACCCAAACATTGGTTCACCTGCTATATTTTAATAGCCTGTAGTTAACAATTGCACTTTGTATATCACCTTGTTATTGGTATTAAACAAATATTTTGCATAATTTTTTTTATATATTTTGCTTTTTTGTGGTTCAATTATTTTGCTTACTTTTACCATAAGTTTTATAACTTTTCCTCCTTGTAAAACAAAATAATATTATTAGAACTGTGTATTCAATAGCAGTGTTTGACTGTACTGTACAATATTGAGGGTTATATTTACACCCAATGACAGTATGCGTGAATGTATTTTTGCATACAAAAAAGTTTTACCTAGCTTATATGGCTGGTAAATAAATTTAAACAAACTTAACAAGCTCGCATAACAATTCATACAGACTACTTACAGTTATCATAATTAACAATCAAAATTGTTTGTTTAAATGAATTAAAATTAAAATTACATATTATCGGAAGTTAACTGTAGTTATTCATAGATAACATTCATACAAATCAACGGTAATTCACAATTAGGAGGTCTATCAAATACAATAGCATGCGTCACATTGTTTAGGGGGCAAATTAGGGGGCATTAATTGCAAACACTTGACATTAGCGTAACGTTGTCTATGAACAGCGCTCACACATACACACACCGAAAGCACATGTATTTTGAAAAGTGTTGTGTTTTTCAATACCTGTTATAATAATAAACATGTTTTTAATTGCAATCGTGTTTTAAATCATTAATTAATTTATAAATAAAACTCACTTTTCATTAAACATAAAAATTATGTCATTTTTCATCAGAAAAACCCGAAACCAATCAAAATCGACGCCAAATAAGCGTAAAGTATGTGCGAAAACAACACATGTTTATAGTGTACTCTCGATATAGTGTACACCCGTTATATACAGTGCACACCACGTGTGTTGAGTACACTATACACCGCACCGGGTATTGATTGTCACAATTGTCTCATTTTTAGGGCCAAAACCAGACCACAAACCGGAAGAATGAGGGGAAAGCCGGCGGCAGAAAGGCTGCGCTCAACAAGAAGTCGTTGAACGAAGAGATCAGCAGCGGTTCCAGCGATGAGGACGACGACCAGAGACAGGACATCGGGTTAGACGATAACACGGCTGCGGCCGCCGCTCGCCGTAAACGCAAACTCAAAGACTTGGCCGCAGCCGGAGATGACGGCCAGAGGAAGGGTTCCGACGGCGAGGACAGCGACGCCGACGCGGAGACACCGCAGGAGAAACGGCTCCGTTTGGCGAAGAAGTACTTGGAGTCCATCGAGACGGAGGAGCGGCTGAAGAACGACGGCTTAGATGACGGAGACGTCGACTATCAACGCCAAGTCGGCGACCGTTTGCGCGACGATATACTCGAAGAGACGGGACGTTTGCATCGGAAAGTGGCCGACAATTATACCGCTGCCGATACGGACGCGATTCGGTGTCTCCGTAATGGCCATCAGTTGGCCGTAACGGCGGTTGTCGTCACATCCGATGAGAAGTACGTGTTTTCGGTGTCCAAAGACTGTTCAATAGTGAAGTGGGAGTTCGAGTCGGGACGACGCGTGCGGACAATACCGGGCCTGAAGTCGAAGAAAGCGAAATCAAAGTCCAAAACAAAGGCACCGAACGGTACGGCAAAGACAGGTAAACAGCAGCCAGAGGTCGGCCACTCGGCGCACATCTTAGCGCTGGCCATATCGAGTGACGACAAATTTTTGGTCACCGGTTGCGTGAATAAGATAATCAACGTCTGGGCGCCGGAGTCGATGACACTGTTGAAGACATTCCGCGGCCATCGCGGCGCTGTCTCCGGACTCGCCTTTCGCAAGGGTTTCCATCAGCTCTTCTCGGCCTCATTTGACCGGTCGGTGAAAGTGTGGAATTTGGACGAAATGTCTTACGTGGAGACACTGTTCGGCCACTCGGATCAGATCCAAGCCATCGACAGCTATATGCGCGACCGGGCGATTACTGTCGGCGCCCGCGACGCCTCCGCCCGCATCTGGAAGATACCCGAAGAGTCGCAACTCGTTTTCCACGGCTCCCAACACTCGATCGATTGCGTCAAACTCTTGGACGAACAGCATTTCATTACCGCCGATGACAACGGGTCTGTATTTTTTAGTGATAATTGGATTTGTTTGCGGTTTTAGTGGTNCAACTCGTTTTCCACGGCTCCCAACACTCGATCGATTGCGTCAAACTCTTGGACGAACAGCATTTCATTACCGCCGATGACAACGGGTCTGTATTTTTTAGTGATAATTGGATTTGTTTGCGGTTTTAGTGGTTTTATATTTAATATTTTGTGTGTTTTGTTTTGTTGTTGAAAAAGTAGTTCAATAAGTCTGTGGGGAGTACTGAAGAAGAAGCCGTTGTCCACGTATGCCGTGGCCCACGGCGTGGGCTCTTCGGCGCCCAATTGGGTGACAGCGTTGGCGGTGATGAGGAATACAGATCTAATCGCTTCCGGTATTTAATGNTGGGGAGTACTGAAGAAGAAGCCGTTGTCCACGTATGCCGTGGCCCACGGCGTGGGCTCTTCGGCGCCCAATTGGGTGACAGCGTTGGCGGTGATGAGGAATACAGATCTAATCGCTTCCGGTATTTAATGCATTCAATTATATCTTGATATTTGTGTTGTATTTTATTTGTTGTTATTTCTGGTGATAATTGCTTTTTGTTTTATTCTTGCGGACAAACAATAGGATCATCCGATGGTTTGATACGTCTGTGGAAGTGTTCGCAAGATTTTCGCAAATTAGAGCCAATCGTAAACATTCCTGTCGTAAGTGTTTTGTTTGTTGTATTAGTTTTTGTTGCGATTTTTAATTAATTGATTGTTTGTTTAATTTAATTGTTTTGTTTGTTTGGTTTGAATTATAGGTGGGATTTGTAAATAGTCTAGAGTTCAGCCCAAACGGCAAGTGCTTAGTGGTAGGCGTGGGTAAAGAGCACCGGTTGGGCCGTTGGTTCGCCATAAAGGAGGCCAAGAATAATGTTTTAATTATACCGCTTATAATTAAATGAATTAAATCTTATTATAATTACTATTAAATCTAATATTAAATAAATGTCAAAATTAATTTACTTTTTCTATGGAAAAAATTTGATTTCGTTTTTGTGTTGTGTTATTATGTGTACGAAAGAGAGAGAGAGAGAGAGAGAGAGAAGCTAAGAGAGTATTCAATAATCGCAAGACTCTCTCGCAAAGTGAGTGAAAGACACAGAATCGACACAAACTGTACGTTAGCTTCAGATATATATGAAGTGAAAGCTATTCCCACACATCAGTTAGAGTTGAGGTTTTGGTTGTGTTATATAACTATATATACAACGCCAATGAAATACACAGAATATTCTTAACGCATAGCATTCAACGCACGTATAATTGCTTTTCTACTCAACACTTATACACTGTATTGTCGTTTTCATTATTATTAACTACTCTCTGAAATCGGATAAAGTTTATCACATTTTTGTTTGTGTGTTGTATTTATTATATTTTTTACCAACAGTTATATTAACACAATTAATAACGAAATATATTTTATACACATTTTAATATCACTACTGAATCTGTACCGCAAAAAAGAAACAAAATTAAACATAACTGAAATCTTTTAATACATGTGTGAATATACACTGTGTGTCGGATTTGTTGACTAAAAACACAACGATATCCTCTAATAAAAACATAATATATTACATAGTTTTAGTGCATATCTGCATGAATGCCGACCCCTCTGGCCATCTATGGGTGCCATACAAGGGAAACAGTCGGTCCTTAAAGGGGTCATCAAAAACAGTGAACAAATATCGGTAAAAATTATTGCGATTCTTGTTTTAAATTGGATTTTGTTTTATATTGAATTATTTTTATATGAAAAATACAATACAATTATGAATTTTGATTTGTTTTTTGTGTGTTTCAGTAAATTTTTTATATAAAAATATTTTTCTTATTTATTTTCGGCCTCAATAGATATGTATTGAATGTGTGGGTGAGTGGACACAAGGTATGGGATGTACTGTATTATGTATTATGCAGTAGAAGAGAGAGAGAGAGAGAGAGAGAGAGAGAGGGCACAAAATTTGTTTGGAAATATATTTATTTATTATTAAATTCTACACAACATGATTACTGCCATTTATTATTACATTATGTTTCATAACTCAATGTTTTTTTTTGTGTTGCAGTCATTTCTAACTGAAAAACAAAAGCAACTGGTTAAAGAGAGCTGGACTATTGTGGCACAGGATCTGGTGGGTACGGGCACATGTGTGTTCAAACGGTATGCATTCACTCTAATACCCAATTCACCCAAATCACCATGCACAAATCCCAAACCAATTTAACCCAACATGATTATTCTGTACGTGTGTTTCGCTATAGTTTATATTCACTTCCAATTCAAATCAAATCCCTATTATATCTCAACATTTCATTTCAATCCAAAAAACACTTTAAAGATTTAGTCATACTTTTACTGCAATATCTAATACCTGGATACTATTTCTATCGTAAACATGCATTTTAGTGTACAGTACATTGTATTGTGTGCTAAATAATATGTTATAGAAATAATTTTCGAGATTTATTCTTTAATTTAACAGAATATTCTGTTTTATTTACTTTATTTATACGTTAAATACAAATGAAAATATTTATGCTAAGGATTACACTATTGTTTTGCAAATAATTTCACATTGTATTATCTGCACACAAATTATTCAACATGCATATGGTAATAACGCAGATTATAACGTGGTAATTGTTTACAATTTGTTACATATTTGCATTTAGCCTGAAATATTATAATAAATTAGAGTTTGGTAAAGAAACACAGAATATTCTGTATACAGTATATTACTGTATAATAAACACTTAAAATACTAAACAAAATAATTGCATTTGAAATAAAAATAACACCAAAAACCATATAAATAGCTCTCCATTTAGTTAATTAAGGCCAATAAAATGCCCGTCAAATAAAAAACAACAACAAAATTAACTTAATTATTCCGGCGGCTAATAGTGCCCGGGAGTGGCGATTAGGTTTGATTACACACCCGGTGCCCATCAATCGCATTATGCGCTCGATAAATTGCCAATGTCCTAGGTCATTATATGGTTTTGCGTGCGTGATACAAACAATTAAATTAAATTAATTTTTTTTTGATAATAATACATTATTATTTTTCGATATCCTTTTTTTTGTGTTTTATTGAGATCAATTTCAAACGAAAGCACAGTTTTATTGTTGAGCCCAATTAATAACGTACACACCTTTCCATTGAGTATACAATTGCGAACATTATGTTTAAGACAATACACGAGAGTATTGTTTTGTGAATATAGCAGAATATTTTGGTTGTATTCTGGGTGTATAGAATACTTTATAGGGCTATCACTTTAATGAACCATTATATTATATCAAATAATCTCTCCTCAATTCTTTTGCAATTTCTTGCTCTCTCTCTCTCTCTCTCTCTCTCTCTCTCTCTCTCTAAATCTCATTACACAATATATACCACATATTCTGTCACTAATTGCTGTCAATTACAGTATATGTTAACCAATGGAGCGGTTATTGTCTGTAGTGATCGATAATGTGTTGAACTGACAAAACATACAATAATTTATCACATCATTAATTATGCACTCAATATAATTAAACCATTAATTTTAATATACAAAAAATTTTAAACTAACCTGGCGCATAACTTTATAACTTGTTACCATAGTCAATTTATTCCAATCATAAGTTCAAGCCTGATTTAACGAGCGTAATTTGTGGGCGAACCAAAGTATTACATTAATGGATTTTTGTGTTGCAGTGTATTACTGTGTTAAGACATTTATGTAACATTTACAGTGTTTAATAGGTGGACGCTTAGTCATACAAACTGTAACTACCATAGTCGTTTAGTGTATGTGTGTATATTTTGTGTTTTATTTTTACCATCATACATTTTCGCACATAATTTATTTTAACTTAATTAATCGTTTAATATCGACAGCGCATTGATTTTGTTAAATTGATCAAGTGTGATTAAGTGTGTGTATGCGCTAATGTACTGTACGTACATAAATTAATTGATATATTAATATTATACATGGTGATTTGTGTGCTGGTGGTATAATAGCAGTGATAAATTAAATGTGAAATGTAAAAGTTTTTGTTTGCATGTAAAACATTTTTGTGTTTTTAATTTTGATTATGGTGATTGTGATTTTGCCTAACTGTATATGAATTTAGTTGCAATTTATTTCAGCAAGTTTATTTTCGCTGCTAATTATTCAAACAAGTGTTTTAACATTTTTGTTGATTTTTAATTTTGGTTACTATTTTATATATTTATAATTTACTTTTAATTTAATTCATTACAAATCACTTGTAATTAAATTAACACATCTATTGAAGTCAAGTGAATGGTTTGTTTCAGCGATTATTAACAGATTTATTATTATATAAAATAATTATTGATTAATAATAAGCGAGAAATAGAAATAGAAATTTTATTTTTCACCCAAAAATTTAAATGTATTTTTAGTTTACATTTATATATAGTTTATAACAAATACTGGTTTTTCTCATACATTCTCATTGTATGGCAATTATTAAGGAAATTATTATTTATTTATTGAAATAGTTTTATAAATACTGTATATATTTATAAATGCCTTCTAATCAAAGAAAACTACTATTTATTTATAGATTTTTAACTGAATTGTTGCGAAATAATTGTTTAAAAATCATTTTTAATTAGTTGTAAAAACTATTTATAATTAGGGGTTAAATAGCATTGTATTTAATTAAATAAAAATTAATAACTATTGAATAGCCTAATATTTTACATAGATTTTTATCTTAATACTGTACTGTACAATAGTTTATTTTATTTCAATGTTAAATGCATTAAGTTAAACTATTTTATTACTATGTTGTAATCTCATGGTAACTCTACACAAGTGTTGTGTTTTTTAATTGTCAAGTGATTTGTACTGTTATTACGGGTTGCAGTGATTTGGCCTCTAATATGGGTTAATAAGTGTTAGATAAGGGACAGTGAGAGTGGGGTTCGGGAAGTCTGGCTATATATGCAGTATTAAAGCCCTACCACTCGAGTAGTTAGGGATCACATACTCGTAGAGCGAATGGTAATGAGAGATAAGATTAGATGATATTTGTAGGTAAAGGGTTAAGGGTTATAGAGTATGAGAGAGAGAGAGAGAGA